TGAAAAATGAATTGAAATTTTACTCTTTCCACGATTCTTCCAGTGACTGAATTGCTCATTTCCCGAGAAACATGGCATCTGGCCAATCAAAGCACACATGTTCTGTTTTATGGGATTCAGCATTATACCCACAATTGTATACCGATTCGTTCGCACCGCGTAGGCACAAAACAATTCTAGTAGAACAATTGGGGCATCATCAAAACCCAAATCAATTTCTTGTAAACATTTTCTTAAGTAGTCACTCATGAGAGAGAGGGATTTGTATATTTTGTTGCCTTTAATTCAGAGTTTATATGGAGCATGACGGTTTTGGATTCAAGAAAGAGATGAAAATCTTGACTATCGACCAAAATAATTGTTCGACAGACAAAAGCCGAGAATAAAAATATATAAGAATGGGAATAAGAATCGCCAGACAATATTATTCTTATTCGTCGAAATCGATTTAAGAGAATGAAAAAGATTAGAAAGAGACATTGTGATGTTCTAGTCTTCACAAAACCATTGTAAGGGTTATGGTCTTCATAAAACCAATGTAATGTTAATCAAGCTTTATGCAGACGAAATCTACGACATGTGCTGCCTCATTGAATTTGATATATGCAACAGTACCAGGTTTTCTGACAATGCATTTCACCAGCGCACAGTTGAGGAATTGTGGAGAGATCCTTTGTCTTTGAAGCTAAAACGGAATAATTTTTAACATTTCTTTAGTAATATCTATTGACCATTTCTGCGTAACAAGTATCCATTTATTGAATGACCAAGGGCCACGTTTGAGAATGAGATTAACTGCTTCGTTAGATTGAAAATTTTGTTGCTACGATGATTTTTTTCAATGACTGAATTGCTCATTCTCCAGAAACAAGACATATGGCCAATTAAAACACACATGTCAACAATATACTCACAATTGTATATCGATTCGCTTGCATTACTTGGACACAAACTGATTATAATAGAGCAATATAAACATAACAGGAATGAGGCGCAAGCTTTGGATTCAATCACGTTTAGATAGGGGTTTTGGTAATCCTGAATGGTTCAAGCAATTTACAGTTTCAAATCAGGTTTTTTTAGAAAAGAGAGGCTCTGATCACAGTCCAATTTTGGTGAAATTGTTGGCATCTCAAGACTCGTATAAGGGGCACTTCAAGTTTGACAGAAGATTTCTGGATAAGCCTAACGTTCAGGAAACTATTCAGAGAGCTTGGGATTGTAACTCGCAAAGATCTAGGCCGTCTGTGGCTGACGGGTTGAGATTATGCAGAAAATTTTTGAGCACTTGGAAGAAAGAATCCAATCTTAACTCTCAGGACCGTATCCAACAGATAGAGTTTGCCTTAGAGAAGGAACAATCTTTGATGCGTCCTTGTCTTCAAAGTGTTTCAATAATGAAAGTTGACCTAGCTCATGCATATAAGGAAGAAGAGGACTTCTGGAGTAAAAAAAGCAGAGATAAATGGTTGTTGAAAGGTGATAAAAACTCTAAATTTTATCATGATTCTGTCAAGGCAAATCGAGCTCGAAAAGGTATTGAAGTGCTTAATGATGTTAATGGTGTTGAACAAAAATCAGAGGCGGCAAAAGGAGAAGTGGCTTCGGCTTATTTCACCAACCTTTTTAAATCCTCCAATCCAACATCTTTTCAAGGTTGGTTCTTGGGTTTTGAAAAGAAAGTAACTAATGAGATGAATGATGAGCTGATTAAACCTGTTTCAGTCCAAGAAATTAAGGATGCTGTTTTCTCGATCAAACCTGCAAGTTCTCCTGGAGCAGATGGTATAACTGGTTTGTTCTTTCAAAAGTTTTGGAACATCATTGGAGTGCATGTGGTTTCAGAGGTTCAGAGCTTCTTTGTCACCGGTATTTTCCCTGTGGAATGGAATTATACGCATCTCTGTCCTCTCCCCAAGATATCTAACCCTTCGGAGATGAAAGATCTAAGACCTATAAGCCTTTGCTCTGTTTTATACAAGATCATTTCAAAAATTTTGGTGAGAAGATTACAACCTTTTCTTGCACAAATTGTCTCTATTAATCAATCTGCTTTTGTTGCGGAAAGATTGATAACATACAATATTATCATTGCTCATGAGGTAGTGCACGGGTTGAGAACACATTCAGGGATATCTTCAGAATACATGGCTGTGAAAACAGATATGGCTAAGGCTTATGATAAAGTTGAATGAGCTACTTAATATCCTTGCTCATTGCCATGAGCTTTCATCTTAAATGGGTGGATTGGGTGCTATTCTGTGTCTCTTCTGTTACATACTCAGTCCTAATTAATGACCAACCCTTTGGTTTGATTATTCCTGAAAGAGGTCTTCGCCAAGGGGATCCACTTTCTCCATTCCTGTTCGTGATGTGTACTGAATGTCTCTCTCACCTTCTTAACAAAGCGGAGAGAGATGGTTGTTGAATGGGATTCAGTTTTCAGTTAATGGGCCAGCGATTCATCATTTACTGTTTGTCGATGATAGTTTGTTTATGTGCAAAGCTGATGTTGCCCAATGTGGGATTCTTAAGGAAATTTTAAGTATCTATGGCAATGCAACAGGTCAAACAGTCAACTTGAATAAGTCCTCCATCACTTTTGCAGCGAAAGTAAATGGCGGAGCTAAAAGTCATATTCGTCAAACACTGGGGATTGTTAATGAAGGAGGTGCATCCTCTTACTTGGGACTTCGAGAATGCTTTAACGGTTCTAAAGTAGAAATGCTGTCTTTTCTCAAGGAAAGAATGAAATCCAAACTTTCAGGATGGTTTGCGAGGACACTGTCCCAAGGTGGTAAAGAAGTTTTGCTTAAAACAGTGGCCTCAGCGATGCCTGTTTTTGCCATGTCTTGCTTTAGGCTTCCAGAAACAGTTTGTGAGAATCTGTCTAGTGCCATGGCGGACTTTTGGTGGAGCGCAATGGAGCACAAAAGAAAGATACATTGGGTGAGTTGGGAGCGTTTATGTTTGCCAAAAAATCTTGGGGGAATGGGTTTCTGTGACATTGAATGCTTCAATCAGGCTCTATTAGCTAAACAAGCTTGGAGGATCCTACAGTTTCCTGATTCCTTGTTTGCAAGATTTCTAAAGAGTCGTTATTTTGAGAAGATTGACTTCCTTGATGCTCCTTTGAGTTCTCGTCCTTCATTTGCTTGGCGAAGTATCTTACATGGACGTGATCTTTTGAGTTTAGGTTTGCGGCAAATGGTTGGTAATGGAAACTCGATCAAGGTTTGGATTGATCAATGGGTGGTTGATGATGATGGTAAGAGAGCTCCATGGAGGAAGAATTATTTTTTTTAGCTTTAGTCTTATGGTAAAGGATTTGATAGATTTCCCTAACAGAAGGTGGAATAGAGAGAAGTTAGAGGAAATTTTTCTTCCCCGTGATATTATGTTTCTCTTAAAAAACCAACCTGTGGTGAATCAAGATGATTTCTGGTGCTGGGTTCACAACAAAAGTGGAGATTTTACGGTGAAATCAGGGTACTGGCTTGCAGCTCATAAAAAAAAAACAGATCTGATCCTTGAAGCTTCAATGCAACCTTCGATTAATTCTCTTAAAGAGCAGATATGGTCTCTCAAAGCTCCTCCAAAGATTTTAGTTTTTTTGTGGAAAGCGCTTTGTGGTGCAATTGATGTTGATGATAGAATTGCAGATAGAGGTATGAGGGTTGATGGTAGATGTCAATCATGTGGAATGGTTGGAGAATTGATCAATCATGTGCTTTTCTCTTGTTCAATTGCTCGTCAGGTATGGGCTCTCTCAAATCTTCCTTCTCCCGATTATGGGTTTGATCAAGACGGTATTTTTACAAATTTTAGTCATCTCTTGGTCATTTGGAAAAACTCTGCAGTTCCAATTTCTATTCGCAAGTGTTTTCCTTGGGTGTTATGGTATTTGTGGAAGAACAGAAATGCCTTGTTGTTTGAAGGGAAAGCCTTTTCGGCCTTGGATACTGTTGCAAAAGCAGTAGAGGAATCATCTCTTTGGTTTTTGGTTCATGGTTTAGATCATCGTGTGATGGAATCAAGTAATGAAGATGTAATTCTGGGTAACTCAAAGTGGTCAGGACCGCCTCCAGGATGGTTAAAATGCAATGTTGGTGCTGTTTGGTCAAAAAATAAAAGGCTTGGAGGAGTGGCATGGGTCTTGAGAGATTCTTTAGGAATTGTTTTGTTGCATAGTAGAAGGTCGTTTGCACAAATGGCTTCACTGCGAGATACCTGTTATAAAAGTTTGCATTGAGCGATGGAAAGCATGTGTTCCCATAGAGTTAAGAATGTGATTTTTGCTTCGGAAGATGTAGAATCCATTGGGGCGGTGCTTCGGCCAAAGGCATGGCCATCTTTCAGGTTCAATGGTTCAGAATTATCTTTTTTTGTTGCAGAAGTTTGAACGATGGAAGCTGGAATATTCTTCTTTGGAAGATAATACTGTTGGAATCCCACATCGGAAGTTTAAAGGGACCAACGCTAGTATATATAAGATTTGGGCCAATCCACTCATTGCCAATTGATTTTGAGTTGGAAGCCCATATAACTTAACATGGTATCAGAGCCTCGTTTGTTAACCTAAGTAGGGTGGCCCAAAAAGGGTTTATTACTGGTCCTAAAGTGGAATTCAGTTCGAGATGGGCTGATAAGAGCCATCATCTCGAGGGGGCGTGTTGGAATCCCACATCGGAAGCTTAAAGGGACCAACACTAGTATATATAAGACTTGGGCCAATCCACTCATTGCCAATTGGTTTTGAGTTGGAAGCCCATATAACTTAACAAATACAGGGGCTCATCTGATTGCTAAAAGTGTAACAGAGGAAAACAGAGTTCACTCTTATGTGGCAGCTTCTCATCCTCGCTGGCTAAATAATCTCTTTGTTAGTGAGAGAAGGTTTCACTCATCTTGATCCTCGCTCCTTAAGCTGGTTTCTTTTGTTTAAGTATGTTGTTTCTGCTTTGTTGTTTCAGTCCTTAGTTGGCTTTAAGTGGTTGTTACGAGGGTAAAGCAGAGTTATTTTTAGTTATTTTTTGATCGCTTTACTTGAGCAAATTGCAGATTTGTAACTGGGTTGGGGTCGCTTCTTTAGGACCTTGTATTGTTTCTTTTCTTCCCAAAGTTAATATTATTACAGATGAAAAAAAAAAAAAAGTTATAACATTGATAAAAAAAAACATGCGAGACATTTTCTTAAGTTGTCCGGTGGTGACGGATCCCAAAGTGTATAAGAGAGATTTTTGAGATTACCCTTTGAGCAAAAGGGACATTTGAGACGTTGCCTCTGCTCAAAATGCAAAGGCGTTTCCTTTCATCGGTTTCCGCTTCCGCCGGAAATAGTAAAGCCCTAACTCATGGGAGATGGAGCGTGAAGCAGGTGAAAAAATCCAACTTCAAATCCGCTTTAGATGAGATTCGCACTTCAATCGATTCATCAGACTTCGTTGCTCTCTCGCTACAGAACACCGGCTCCTACGCCGCCGCGTGGCACCGTGTCTCCGCCATTGACACATCTCATACGAGCTACTTCAAGGCTAAATACGCCGCCGAACGCTACCAGATCCTACAGTTCGCTCTCTGCCCCTTCTCCCTTAGCGGCCCCAAACTCACCGTTCACCCGTAAAGCCACTCAAATCTCTGTCTCTCTGTCTTCTCGATTTTCGTCTTCTTCGCCGAAAACTGACTGACTAGGGTTTTGTGTATTTTGTTTGTAGATATAACTTCTATTTGTTTCCTCGAGATGAATTGAAGCTAGGGATGCCTTCTTATAGCTTCTCTTGTCAAGCATCTCGTTTAACAGCTATGGCTAGAGAAGGATTTGATTTCAACACCTGCATCTATGAAGGTTTTATTGCTTCTCCATCTCATTTTGTTTCCTCTCATATCTATGAATTGTAGTTTTGATGGATCTATTTTTACAGGAATTTCGTACTTATCAAGAGAACAAGAGTCTGCGTCGAAGTTTCTCTCAGGGAATCCGATATTAGCTGAACCCATTGCTGCACCTTCTTCTCCTTCCACTGTAGCTGATGCCGTCTTTGTAGGAAGGATCAGGTCGCGCGTCAAGAACTGGAGACAATCTTGTTTAGATTCGAGGTCAAAGACTGGAGATGGTGCATTTGCGAGTGTTAAGACAATTTCAATAGGAATCTCTCTTTTTGCCTTTCTGTTTTCCAGTTTTGTCAATGTAATGAATCTGTTCTTGTTGATTTTTCAGATGATTTGGTGAGTTCTCTGAGAAAGCTTGTTTTGGGGAGTGAGCAGTATGGTTCGAGGCTATGCTTGACTATTGATGTTTGTAGTGAGCGTCAAGCGCAACTTATCCTAGAGGTATATTAAGCTTTAGTTGATACTTGGCACGATTATTGGAGTCTGCGTTTGTGGTTTACTTTGACAAAGCTTCTATCTTTGTCACTACAGATGTTGACTGAGTTCGCTGATGATGTTGTTCCTCTACTCATGGCTTCAAAAGGCAGAGGAACACAAGCGATTCGTGCTGTCTTTATGAGTTCCAAGGAGGACATGGATCTTTTTAAGGTACGAAGATGAATTGTAGGATATATACCCATAATGGTGAAGGTCTCTCTTTTAGAAAATTTACCTGGATTTATGTTCTTGTACAGAGAGAGCTTCAAGATCTTGAAAACGAAGATAACATGCGAGTCCGTGGCTTCAGAGAAGTGATTGATTTGATTTCTTCTTCACAGAAACCTGTTGTCTCACAGAATTATCTTAGCGGTGATCTCTAACTCCTCCTCCTTTGTTTGCACATTCATTAGCTTTTCTCCTCCATGGATGATAAAATCTTATGCTTTAACTTGCTGCAGATTTCACTTCCATCCATGCCAAATTCCTTGGTCCTCTACCTTCAAATGTGGATGACTTCAGCAGTTCATTAAGCTCAGCTTTTCCCAATGTTGTTGATCTTAGTCAGTTGATGAAAGAGATTAGTCCCTTAAGTAACATAAGTAATCTCCCTGCAGCTATGTCCTCCTTGAATCGGTTCTTTGCTCCTGTGGATGTGGAAGTGGCAAATCAAGGTCAGAGTTCTCTTTCAAAGATGTTGATTTCTGTAATTAGGGTGAATGTGTATTTGACTGTTAATGGCTTCTCTTATTAGGCTCTCTGCTCAAACTAGACGAAGGCCATGAGAAGCATGGGCAAAACGTTGTGATGACATCACAGCTTTTTGCTAAACTAAGTACCATACAGAGATCACATCAGTCCTCTGTTCAATCAAATGAAGATCTCCAAGCTTTGGCTTCTGATGAAAATGTTAAAGTCTGGTCAAAGAACAGCAGGAAAGTAAGCTCTGAGAACTTGGTGTTTATATGGGGATTGGCGAAGAAGGTGACAGCTTCAATGCTCAAGAGTGTTCTACAAAAGTCGCACGACGTTTTCGCAACGCAAAAGTTTGATGTGAAGTATTTAGACAGGAGCTGTGCGGTTGTGGTGTTTTGGGAAAAAGGTTCGTCGGAGACTTTCCTCAGTGCGGTTAACGATGAAGAGAAGCTTGTTGGTTCGTTAAGAGAGATGGTTGCAGAAGGGCTTAGAGTGGCAGGTTATGAGAGTTACAAGAGAGCTTGTAGATTAGGTTTCTGGGAAGCTGACTTGGCGGATTCTTTAGACAGAACATTGGAGTCTTTAGATGCTGATTCCGATGCAGACACTAGACCGTCGGATATTAGTTGGACGAGCGAGTTAGCTATCAATTTTGATGAGCTATGAAATGTCTTCACTAAACCAATGTAATGGATTCTTCGTCCGGGTTGGTTTTATGATTTTAGTTATTTGTATTTTCTTTATCACTTACTCAAGGTTTAATTATGTGTTGCAGTTTGATTATGCGGTTTATGAAAAGTAGATCATATTAGTACTTTACATATTAGGACGCATCTATTACATTTTCAGATTTTGCCAGAAAGCGAAGAGTTACAACTTACAAGTAACGGCTCTTCAATGCGGATTTCGGATCGGTTTTTGTGGTTTTTTGGTTTATAAATGGTTATATCCGAAAATAAACCGAATCTATTATAAATGGTTTGGTGCAGATTTGGTTTAGGATCGGATTTGGATCGATTGAGTTCCATGGTAATTTTGGTTTAAATCGGGTTTTTTTTAGTTCGATTTGGTTTTTGGTATTTTAATTATAGAAAAAAGTAAATCCATTTAACCCGTATTAAGTTATGGTATAGTGTTTAGATTGGTTATTTAACTCCACTTACAACCGTGACAAAAGCGGATTAATCAACCATAACCAATCAACCATTCTAGCAATTGAAGAAGGTTAAGAAGTTGAACCAAACCGAAATATTGGTTTGCTCGTCGCTATCGGGCAATTTCAACTAGAATATGTTAATAACCATGACCGGTTACAGCCGGTTTACGAACCTATAAATGTGGTATGGATTATGCTTGACCTTTGAGCTTTGTCTCCAGAGATTAGGTAACACCGACGGCGAGAAGAAATGGTGTTTCCGACGGCGGCTAGGGTTTCAACCTCCGCCTCACTGGTTCTACGCCAAAAATTTCGGTAGCTATGCCCGTTAGCCTCCCCCTCGCCGCTCTCTCCCATCTTTCATTCCGTCCCTCACCATCTAGGTACCACTAGTTCTCCATCTAAAGCATTCGAGCTCGGTTTTGTCTCCGCTTCATCTTCTCTGCTTCCTCTTCAAGGCATGTCTCCGCTTCATTTACTCCTCCCGTCAGTTTCCTTCTCCGCCTCCTCTTCTCGTCCCTTATTTGCTTCCTTCTCCACCTTCTCTTCTCATTCCTTCTTTGTGTTCACTGGTGCTTTATACTCTTCTCGTTGCAAAACACAAACATTTTTTTGTGTAAGACAACCAAATTATTACCACCTTCTCTTACTATGCCTTTTTATCTGCTTCCTCCTTAAAGCCTGTCTCTGCCTCATCTTCTCCTACCTTATTAGCTTCCTTCTCCGCCTCTTCCTCCTCCTTTACCTACTTTCTTTTCCACCTCCCCTTTTCCTTCATTCTCTGTTCATGTTCTTTTTCTTGCAAAACACAAACAATTTTACTTAGTATTATATAGTATCACATTTTCGTTTAAAAGTCAAAATTAACCAAATTATTACCTATTCCATTATGGAAACATTCTCGACATTTTACTTGTCTTGCAAAACGGTGGTTTCTTCGACCAGTACCGTCTCACCACCATCCTTGTTTTGTCTTTGTCCTTATCCTTTAAATCTAAACCCTGCAATCCAATATACCAGTGTAACCAAGTCTGACCATTCGGTTTAAAAACCAACTTACTACAATCAAATTGTATTAATTATCTCTTCGTTCACCCTTCCATCATCGTCATCCATAATATGAGGATTGAAATCATTATAATCCACTTCCTCGTACAAACTTCGAGCATCTAATTGCTCTTTCACATAACATTCCACGGCTACAACTCTAGTGTCCAAGCCAACAAACTTGTTCATTTTCTTGAAGCCTTTTTCCATTTCAGTCTCCAAGCTCTAAACGAGTGCTACCAAATCAGTCGAATCAGCATTCAACGGTGCCTCAAATGCAGCATTTTCCACCTCATTTAGAGGTTCCTATTCTGCTCGAGCAGCCACATCTCTTTCGTACATCTCTTGAAAACCGATCGTCTTCTCTTCATCGAGAAGACGCTTCATCCAACCACGAACAACAACATCATCATCTTCTTCTGTGAGTCGAGCCACTAATGCTTCTTCCTCAGCATATGGGACCAAAATACTTTCAAAGTCCTGTGAATATAAACAACAAAATTAGAAAACATTACAATCGTAAATAATTAATATACCAATTTAGATCACGATAATAAAAAGAGATAACTGACCTTAGTTGTAACAAGTGCTTCATTTATTTTCTCAAGAGAAAATCTTTTCATCGCACTTCGTTTAAACTTTGTCTTACACATTTTAGGACACGTCTTGCTTGCATTTGGACAATCTTCTCAGAATTTCTGCCGGAGTCCTGGAATCGCATCAAAGGCAAGAAGCTAATATAATTACAGTTTGCTTCAAATAGTAGAACTAATAATACTGACAAATAATTCTAATCAGATTTACCGCCAAAGGAATACAGAAAGTAGGAAATGGCCATTATGAACTTTGAACGACCCCTCCAAAATGATTCATGGTGTGCGAAATCTCTTGCATATTGTGATCAAACGACAATCTCCCCCAAGGAAATGTCTTACACAAATGAAGATCATTCCCAAGAGCTTCTCTTTTACATCCGCATATCTTACTCTTGATCCCACCTTAAAGTGCCTCTTCACGAAATCCATACTGCCTAATCGCTCATAGTTGGGTGGATAGCTACGACAGTTTAATCCCCATATTAGGGCGTGTTCATGTATGCCATATCGGAAGGGAACGCCATTTACAATGAACCATGCTTTTTTTTTTATCAGTACACGTCGTTCGAAGAAGAAGCATCCACATCACCTTATGGTTTCGATCACTATGTATGTGGAAAATATGTTTGAACTAGGGGTGATGGAGAAACCAACTCCTCTCCTCTGGTTTAAGCAGATGCTTTAACCCATTTAGAAGTGTTTCGACTGCTTGCAATATGAAACACCTTGTAGAGATCTTGATTTTCTTCGTGTACTCTGTCGGCTCGATCTGGTTTTCTAGAATATCTGAATCCGGTCATGGTAAGATAGCCTTGGAATCATAGAGATCTTTTCCAAGACTCTCTAAGCCTTAAGACCCCAAGATCCTAGAAGGAAATAGATGAAGAACAAGAAAAACACAAAACTTAAACATCTTAAACCCTTTGAATCACCTCAACCCCAAATTCCAAAAGGAACTACTCGCTACTTATGAACGAAACAGAACGAAATGCAATAAACAAAGAACTAAGCATGATTAACGAACGATTGAAAGAAAACTGCTTAATATTAAAGGATTCAAGTTTAAAAGCTAAAAGAAAAGCTTCGATGTTCAACAATGGCTAATCGCCTAAGATAAAAACGAAGAACAGAAAAAGCTAAAGCAAAATGTAGATAATGAAAGCGATAGCCGCCTCTTTCCCTAAATGGCTAAACAGCTGGACTGGTCCCCGCCACTACATTCCAAAAACGGTTAAAGTACCCGAGATCGATCTTGAGATCGATCAGTGCACTCGATCGTCTTCGGAAATCGACTTCAACTGCTCGATCTGCAAGTCGATCTGGTTGGATGGATCGAGTACTTTGTCCGATCTTCCACTCGATCTTTGGATGATCGAGTCATGGTCTCGATCCAGCTCTCGTTCTGCATGGCGTCATTCACGTCCGTACACCCGATCGACTTTCTTTGCTCGATCCGATACTCGATCTCGGGTCCTTCACATGCAAGGTTGAGCTCTCCAAGTGTTCACAAGCTTATAGTTGATCCTCCTCACGTCCGCATAACCTCCACAACTCCAAAGTGCTCCAAACAACCTGATAATGATGCAAAAAGTGCAAGAAATATGCAAAATACGAATGCAAAGGGACCTAGGACCTAAAATGCAATAAATGGAACAAACTAGCCTATAATGCAAGATGAATGCATGAAAAACTATCATAAATGCATGCAAATTATGCAAAATATATGGTAATATCAACTATGCAGGAAGACTGCATCAAATATGTTCGGAAGTGCGAGTACTGTCAGCGATACGCCCTGATGATCCATCAACCAACCGAGTTTCTGACTTCGGCGATCCCTCCATATCCTTTTATGTGCTGGGCAATGGATATCGTCGGACCAATGATTTCTTCTCGTCAGCGCAAGTACGTGCTCATGATGACCGACTACTTCACTAAATGGGTTCAAGCTAAAGCATTCGCCAACATCACCGCATCCGAAGTGAAAAACTGCGTCTGGAGATACATCATATGCCGACAAGGCCTCCCCTACGAGATCGTTACGGACAACGGTTCCCTGTTCATATCAAAGAAGTTTGAAGATTTCTGTGCCAAGTGGAAGATCTGCCTCAACAAGTCTACACTCCGTTATCCGCAAGGTAACAGACACTAACAAAACTATCTTGGACGGCATCAAAAAGCGTCTCAACGCTAAAAAGGGTTTTTAGGCGGACGAGCTGGATGGCATGCTTTGGTCTCATCGCACAACCCCCCGAACGGCGATCGGCAAGACTCCTTTCTCGCTCGCTTACGGATGCGAGGCAATGGTTCCTGTAAAAATCAACGTCGGCAGTCTATGACGCAGAGTACTCCCGGACTTCCCCGCTGTGAATGCAATGATGCTGGTCGAAAATCTTGACACGTTCGAAGAAACGCGCAACTAAGCTTTGCTCAGAATGCAGAACTACCAAAACCAGGCAGCTCGGTACTACATCAAAAAGTGCAGAATCGACATTCCGACAAAGGCGACCTCATCCTTCGAAATGTCTATGAAAACACCAAGGAATACAATGCAGGAAAGCTCGAAGCTAACTTGGAAGGTCCTTACATCATCACGAACATAGTCAAGCCGGGTGTTTATCGGCTCGAAGCAATGGACGGTGAATTGGTCCCACGAGCTTGGAACTCTCTAAACTTTAAACGGTACTACAACTAGGTCGGCATCTTCCTCAGGTCGGCAAAAAAGAGAAGGGAATAATACCTATGAACTACGAAGCGGTTTGATCCCCGAAAGAGGTACGTAGGCAGCCTATCTTCGGATGGCGTAACTGCTCTCCTCCCAAAACGGGGGGGAGGGGGGGGACTTTGAATATTTTTTACCTTTCCGAGCCTTTTGGTTTGTAAGTCTTTGCTCTCTACTTTGATTCGATGAAAAATCAAAATTTTCCCCAAATATCTTGTCAATTTCACATCGGCATCCTGGCCAGATGTTCGATTCGCCTAAAGCTAAAGTTTGATCCACTTTAGCTCGACAACTTAAAAGCCAAGTCCGTCTTGCATCATACAGTTTAATATGTCTCAGTCAA